TCTCTACCAGCTCCCATCTGCTGTCAGAGGAAGTCTCTCTGTTGATGCCTAGACAAAATACTGTTATATGAGTATAGCAGAATATCATTGGGATTATTTTATTTTTTATTTTATTATTTGTGTATTATTTCTTGGCTCTACCCTTGTGTTAAGATGGATGCTTGAATATTCACAATGACTGCGATGCACACAAGCACATTTCACAGTGCTTGAGGGTTGTCTACTTGATTTTCCGTCACAACATCCAACAAAAAACTTTGCAATCTAATTATGGCAATTCAAGTTTGATATGATAACATCCGATTCGAAAGATTTCTTCAACATTTGAAAGTTTAAGTAAACTAAAAATCTGAGAAGGACTTGACCTTGAACCCAAGTCTTTTATGGACTATAATGAATAGCTTCTAACTTTAGAAGAAAGAATATGTTTTCCCTGTAGTTTAAAACAAGTTTTGCTATAACGTTAACAGTCAATAGCTTCTGGATTACAAAGGACATGCAATCGATAGCTTTGCCTTTATAGGTTTACCACAAATATTCATTTCTGACAATACAGTGACCAAAGTGACATAGACAAGGGACATAGACAATATGGTAGAGAATCATTACGACCGTTTGTTTGTGAAAATGAGCTACAGATAGAATTTGTCTATCAAGTCTTTAATGACTTGATTTATGACTTCAGAACTCTATTACTGGGGAAGATTGTGTAGCTAGCAAATGCATTGCATTAGATATCCCTAGGTTTCCTCTGCTCAGAGTTCAGTAATTATTATATTCTGTTGCTTTTGATTCAAATATCTTTTTCCAAAAGCCATTAAATATCAACCAAATGGACTTAGTATGTATGTTCCCTCTCCTTACCTCTCAAATGTGCCAAGGCTATTGGAATTGGCCTTTCAACGGTGCCATGGAATTTGTGTAAGGGGTCAGCATTGTCTTGATTGTGCTGATGTTCTTTGATTCTTGCTCTGGAGACTTGCAAATGTCCAGACCCTTGAACAGCTGATCTGCCTTTCTTCAAGATTCTTCACTCTGCAGCACTGTCAAACAGAGTCTTTAATGAGCAAACTCAGCTGCAAGTCTATCACTTAAACTTTGCAACTGAATATCCTCACAGACGAGGAAACCTGAGAACTTCCTCCCTGCTTTGCCTCCATTTGTGCTCCGAAGGAGCTGTGATTAATTTCAAATTGATGCTTACTACCACCAGGAATGAAATACTTCTTCTAATGCCGCATTCATTTATTATTCTTTGATAGAAGCAATATGTTTACATAAACTATTATAATAGAAAACAAACCAGTGTTTACCAAGTGCTTTTGATTTGTAATTCAACTAGGGATTCTTCTAGCAGCATTACTCAAAGGCTGCGATTTTACCTCCATAGTCACAGCCTCAAGATTTGATTTTAGAAAACCTATCTTTATTACATTTTCTACTTCTAAAGGATTCTGTGTTTCACATTAGTGTCAGGCCGGTTTTGTTCCTCCATGGTGCTTGGAGTTTAAACTAGAAGATTAAAAACAAGATAGGAAACTCTTCTGTTCAGAATTATCCTCTTGTTTAGCTCTCTGTCTCTGTCTCTCTGTCTCTGTCTCTGTCTCTCTCTCTCTCTCTCTCTCTCTCTGTCTCTCTCTCTGTCTCTGTCTTTCTCTCTGTGTGTGTCTCTCTGTCTCTGTCTCTGTCTCTCTCACTGTGTGTGCGTGTGTGTGTGTAGGAGGTGTCTATGTTTTCATGAATTAACTGTTTGTTAGTGGTTCAGTAACATCATTTTCAGTTTGGGTTGATTGCGATGATAAACGTATTTCGAGCTTAGCTGATTTCTTTTCCTCCTTTAGGAGGGAAATTGAACCTACTTGTACAGGATTGTAAAATTCCCTCTTAAGTTTAAGAGAGGCCACTCGGGAACTTCAGTTATCTTCTTTGTGTCTTATTCTGTCTCTGAGCCTCTACAGTCAGATTTCTCACATAATGAGGATAATCTGAAGCCCCGTTTCTGCTGTAGGTAGAATACAAATGAAACTATGGGACACAGGTGTTACCACTCATATTTTAGTAGGTGCAAACAAAACAGGAATTAAGGTAGCATAAGGTAGCAAAAGAAATCCAGAAATTGTATTCTAGCCATATCTGAAGAATGGTCTAAAGTTGTGTTGGTGTAGATAATGTTTTGAGGAGTTGCTACAAATGTGGAAGGAGACTGAGAAGGAAAGAAAAGAATGATCTGGACTGTGCTCTTGGATATTTGGGGACTTTTTGAAACTAGGATAACAAAGCTGATTAAAGGAAAAGCAAAACGAGGAAAGAGAGGGGATGTGCGCATCGGGAAGATTAAAAACAAAAAGGTGATTTTATAAAAACTGTTACAACAGAAAGTGATGGATTGCAATCGTGAAATGCGTATCCACTATCTCAATCTGGGAGTGTTGTCTGTGAATAACTAAGAGTGGATATACTGAGCTATATAGACAACTGAAACCAACTTTGTAGTAAAATTTCATCAGCGAGCATTATGGAACCTAGACATAAGTTGCACCAGATTCTTCACACTGTGAAGGTGCAGGCTCAGAAGTTTTTACTCTAACTAGTGCTTCTTTTTACTTTTCCCCTCTTTTTGTGTGTATGTGTGATGTGCATGGGTGTATATGTGTGTGTTCACCTGTATGTGGGACTAGGCATGTTCATTTGCATATGTGCACATGAATGCAGAACCAGAGGTTCTTCCTGTATTGATCTTCTTCTTGTACATCAATGCAGAATCTCTCAGTTCAACCCAGAGCTTACCAGTTTGGATAACCTAGCTGCTCTGCTTGGTCCAAATGTTCCCTGTCTTTGCATCCCAGGAATCCTTAAGATGGCAAGTGGGCTGCCATGCCTGCCTGGCCTTTAAATGGGTACTAGTTATAGATCTCATGTTTTGTTGCATGGTTTTTCTTTATCCAGTGTGTGACTCCCCCTAGCCCAGTGATCAACTTTCCTTTCTTTTCTTTTTACTTTCCTTTCTTTTATTTTCCTCCCCCCAACAAGATAGTGGTTTTTAAAATTATTTTTGCATATAACAAAATAAGATTTTCAGATACTATAGTGTTCAAATTTCAATTTCTTAAGGAAATGCCATTACTTTCCATAATGGACAAACCAGTTTACATTTTCAACAGTATACAAGGATTTTTTTTTCCACATTCATACCTACTTTTTAATCTTTCTGTCTTTCTCAAACAGTTATCCTAATAGGTATGAAGTAGTACTTCACTGTGGTTTTTAATTTGTATTTTTTGGATCATTAATGCTATTGAACATTTTTGTATTTATTTATTTTTATTAAAAACAGATATTGTTCATACAATATACTCTGATCGGTTTCCCCTCCCTGAGCTCTCATACCCTAACCACTTCCCCACCCACCTGAATCCATACCCCTTCCTTTTCCTTCCATCAGAATATGATAGATATTAATATGTTAATATTAATAATAATGAAATAAAAAGAGGGAAGCATATCTTTTATCAGCATTGGCAGGGTACTCTGAAATATGGATGTAAGAAGGATAGTTTATTATCTTTTTCTCTGTCTCTTTGTCTATCTGTCTGTCTGTCTCTCTCTAGCTCTCTCTTTCTCTTTTCCTACCTCCTTCTCTTTCTCTCTTGACTTGTATCCAGCTTTTCCACTCTCACTAAAAGGTTCTTTGAACATTGTTATAAACCATAGTTTTATAGGAAGGCATTTTAAATATTCACAATTTATTGCTTTTGGCTATCATCCATTTCAGTTTCTAAAGAACAAATTTATTATGAGCCTAAATTTTATTAGATATATTTAAAGTGCCAGAGGGTTAATTGAGCTTTTGAACATACAAAATGGTTTTAAAATAATTTGACATCACAGAAGTACATGTCTCTTGTTAATTCCATTGTACTTTTGGTATAACAGAGGAAAGAAAAGATAAGCTTTGAAAAAATGAAGAATTTTATGAAGCCATGAGGAAAATTATGTTTCTAAGGACTATTTTATCTTTATAAAAAGCAGCATCATTCCAAACAAAGAGAAGAATAAAGGGCCATGCACAAGGTCGCCCAGCTCAGAAACCTTCACATGTATGTTCTTGGATCTGGAGAACTGCTGTGCCATCTGCCTTTAATCACACTCAAAGGGATAAGTCTAAATGTTAGAGCTGTATTTAAACATTTCAGCACACACAAAGATATTATGTTCTGGGAATAGAGCGCATGGTGTTTATTTTTAACATAATTATAGTTGTCTTGATGGTTTTCTTTGAAATAAATTATTAAAAAAAAGTCATTCATGGAAAAAGTGGAAATTATTCATGGTTCAAACCTTTAATTCTAGGAAAAATTCAAAATAAACTCTTTGAATAAAGGTTCTAACTTGTTTTAGGACTGCTCCCATTAAAACTATGGATTTCAGGTTAATTGCTAAAATGCTTTCTATACCCAGTGGTTAACATTGTGTTGCTGTTGCCTTTATTAAGTATCAATAGGAATGCAGCTCAGGGATGGCTTGTTTGGTAAAGTGCTAGCTTGAGTTCAGATCTCTAGACTATAAAGCTGAATCAAGCATCAGACAAAGCGATTGGCCCTGCAATCCCAGCGGAAGTGCAAGGAAAGACAGAAGCGGAGGCTTCCCAAGGAGTTCTCTCCAGTATAGCTTACCTGGCAAAGTTCCAGAGCGGTCAGATACCTTTTCTCCAACACAAGGTGGAAGATGTCAGAGTACGACACTTGCAGCTGCCCTCTGACTTCTATACACATGCTGTGCACATGTAGTACCCACACACTAACATGCTCTCATACATGTGAGTGCTCACACACATGCAGACCGTACTAATGAGACTAGGAACATACAGTTTCAAGTTTTTAATTAAGTTGCTAGAGCTCTATGAATATAGACAAAAGGAGTCTATTTTTGACGTCTTGTATTCCCCCGTGGAATCAAATCTCTGTGTATTAACAGTCACTTCTACTCTCTGTGCTTTGCAGATTGTCTTGAATTTTACTACAATGGACCTATACAAGAGTAGTTTGTGCTGGTATGATTACATTGAAGTAAGAGATGGTTACTGGAGGAAGTCACCTCTCCTTGGTAAGGTATTAGTCTTCTCTTCTGTAGCTGTGTCTGTATTCTATACATGGTAGAGGCAGATGGTGTTTCCAACAGTTATCAGTTTCAATCTATATGATTGGACTTGTTTATATTTTAATTGTGTTTTTTTTTCAACCATACCCCAAACTGCTCAAGGACAAATAGATGAATAGATTGATTCACTGATTTAAAATAACTTAAATATGGGGTAGATTATTTGATCTGAACACAATGATTGAGCATAGCTTTCCAAAGATTATGCTTATTGATTCCATACAGCATTTATTACTGAATTTGAAATTTAAGGATAATAGTTTACATAGATTACATATGTATATGAAGTGTGTGTGTGTGTGTGTGTGTGTGTGTGTGTGGTCTCTTTCCTAATGCAGTGTGAGTTATCAGGTCCAACTCTGTTAGCTGCCTCCCTGTGACAAGCAAATGTACTCCTCCTATAAACACCACAGCTTTGTTTCTTGGAGAGTCTTTCAGAGACTAAGAAGAGTCATCTGTAGTTTGTGTCAGTAACTGCAACTCAGATCGGTGCTCATGAATGTCTGCTCCCAGCTTTAAACCACAGACAACACAAGGAGCTTGCACGAAGCAGTGTAATGCTGCCCTCTGATTGCTCAGAAGTGGGAGGAGCTGGGAGCCCCAGCCACAGGACAGCATCTCCTCAGCGTTGATGTTCTCTCTTTCCCAGACTGCAGACTTCCTTCACTTTTAGTCATATCTTTGCTCACGTGAGGTTTTGTCCAGTACTTATCTTTAGCCCTAGCATCTAAACCCTGCTGAATGGACATTGCTGTACTTAATGTGGAAACTACCTTAGCAAGTCTCTGCCATCTGTGGAAATACTACAAAGCAAGAACAAAAAAGAGTCAAACTGATGTAATACTTGAAGTTCAGGAAAACAAAGCACTGTTTCTAGTTTCTCAGTCTATGTGAAATAGTGTATCCCATGTGTAGTTGGAATTCCAAGAAGGCATTTCAGTGCCTCTCAGCTGGGGAGTCCAATCTGAATCTGTTTTCAGGAAAGCACTTCGTGGGCTAGCACCATCTGCTTCCCTGGTTAAGAGCAGAGGGGTCCACCAGACCCGACTCAACGTGATGCAGATAATGTGTGAAATCTCTCACTAGTGTTCCTTGAAAGACTGAGCTCTGAATGAAATAGCTGATTGACAGCATCATCTCACCAGGAAAGGAGTAAGAATTATGGAGAAGCTGACTACCACTTCACACCCTCCAAGATGGAGGATACATTTGAACAGATTTGTCTGTAGCTTGAATGCGTGTACCAGTGAATGCAGTGCTGTCCTTTCCCACATCTCTTTAATTTAATGCATAGTTTCAAAGGTATTTCTTTACTGACTGACCTTTCCTATGAACTATTTTTATTCAAATTAGTTTTTTTTTACTTTAAATTTATGGGTATGTATATTTTCAGCAGTACGCAGACCTCCATATAATTCTGGGAGTTTGTGCTCTGTCTCATATGTCGATCTGAGCCAACAGTGCATTGTGGTTATAAATGTGAGTGAAGCCTAATAAATGAGAAAGGAGACCAATGGAGGGAAAACTAGGTCATGGTGAAGGACAGAGGCTGGACTAAAGGACAAAGGGATTAGGAGGAAAAGAGACAGAAGGGAGGGAATATACAGGGCAATAGGATAGTGGGGAGGGGTGAGATGAGACAGAAGGAGAATATACTAAACACAGTTCATTCAAAATTGCCACAGTGATATGTAGTAGCTGCATGTTAATTTAAAATAAGAATAAATACAAGAATGGTTAGCAGTATAGTATAATTGTAGAGTTATTTTATAGTGTGCGTGTGTGTGTGTGTGTGTGTGTGTGTGTGTATGTTTAAAGATTTGGATCATGTAGTGAGTCTAAGGAGGGATGATATGGAAGGAAGGACTAATTCTGTGACTTTACTCATTGGCTCCTAATAGCTCATACATATGTATACAGAATATGGTCAGCATTCAGAATCAACTTGATATGACCATTCTGGTTACAATGCCACGGACTATTATAGTTTTATCTGAGCCAGGGTGTGTGTTAATAATATAAGACACCTAGAGCATCTTACATTTTTTGTTCTGAGATGTCATTATCTTGATGAGAGGAGAAGCTTCTCGTGTTTAGAGCAAATTGTACCCTTCTAGGGGTGATCTATTGATAACTGTTCTAATTGCTCAGGACGACTTGAGACTTTTTCTGTTTCTCATAGAGTCACAGCACCACCTTGAAGCATCACATGATTTTTTTTTATGAGTTTGGAGGGTTAACTCTTAGTCCTTATAGGATAATGATATGGCTATCAGTTGACTGAAGAGTTTTATGTGGTCTGAAGAGAGTGCTTTACTTAGGAAATATTAAAATAAAGTTATGGCTCTAAAGCAGTGGTTCTCATCCTTTCTAATACTCTGACTCTTTAATACAGGTTCTTCATGATTTTCATTGCTACATTATAAGTGAAATTTTGCTCCTGTTATCAATCATAATGTAAATATTTTTGAAACTTGAGGTTTGCTAAAGGGATTGTGACCCATAGTTTGAGAAACACTACTCTAATTGCCAGAGATTTTTCATATATGTATATGTGTATGTATATATATATATATATATATATATATATATATATATATATATATATATATATATGGCTAGTGTGGGGCACAAGTCTTTAATTCAATGCACAGTGTGTAATTTAATACATACTACATATTCATATTTAGGAGCCTCTTTTTATTCTTTAATTTCTTTTAGGTAGATTCTGTGGGGACAAAGTGGCTGGAGTCCTTACATCTACAGACAGCAGACTGTGGATTGAGTTCCGTAGCAGCAGTAACTGGGTAGGAAAAGGGTTTGCAGCTGTCTATGAAGGCAAGTCACGTTACATTTAGGAGATCACTTCATCCCCAGCATCTCAATAGAACTCAGTTTCCTTTCATTTCATTAAAACAATATGGAAAGCTTATTTTGCCATTATATAATTTTTCTGAGCCAACATGTTGATGTTCACAAGATGATATTAATAAAAATACTCGGTAAGCTTAAATGGCAAGAAGAACAGGTTTTTTAGTGTAAGTGACACGGTAATAAAACAGGAGAGACAAAACAAATAGACAACATTTCTTATGTTTGTTTTATGATGCTGTGAGATGCTAAGAAAAATTAGAAATTTTTTTTGTACTGATTTTTTAAAAAAAAAACTGTTTGACTTCTGTAGTGGTGAAATACTCCATTCTAGGGCACTGCACAGAGGGTGATTATGTACAGTTCTGAAGTATTCTTTGTCTAAATGGGAGAGTCAGCATGTGAGAAAGAATTTATTACATGCTTTTGTTCTATTTTTCTTAAAGACAATGAACTGGCATCCAGCTTCCTGGCTGTAAACCAGCCTTTTGGGCAGGTTGTGGTGGGGGATAAATCCCTTCTCCATACAGGAGATTATATCGTTTCCAAGACAGGAGAGTCTCACTTCTCTTAAAATTTTAAATAAATGGGAGATTTTGTTTTAAAGATTCACGTCCTGGCAGGGGAGTGGATTACTGGACAGACTCATGGATACTGCATGCCAATGCTGTCAGAAGCTGCAGGGGCTCTGCTCAGAGTGAAGCTTCTTTGCTTGTGAGCTCTTTAGAAATCATCATAAGAAATCAAAGAACAATCTCAGTGAACAAAGACCTTACAAGATAAATAAAAACAAAAATTGATTTTAGTTTTAGTTAAGATGTCACAGCAATGAAAACTTCTATATTCCTTGACTGATCATCCTCTAATGCACACAGTTAAGAGACTGTGTTCACACCATAATCTTGGTAGCATGACAGCTGCATACATAGCCTTCGTTTTCTTTATGGCATAGTCTTTGCATTCCCACAGAAAACTAACCTGAAATACTTTGAAGAAAAGTACGGGCAAAATGACCTGTTGGGCGGGACTTAATTGTTTGTTTGTTTTGCCTTCTTCAGCAATTTGTGGAGGGGAGATAAGGAAAAATGAAGGGCAGATTCAGTCTCCCAATTATCCCGATGACTACCGACCAATGAAGGAGTGTGTATGGAAAATAATGGTGTCCGAGGGCTACCACGTTGGACTGACCTTTCAGGCCTTTGAGGTAAAGTCTTTTAGGGAAACTTCATGGCTGCATATTCTCTATAAATGACAGCAGCATTTAAGGTCCTCTTCATTAAGTCAGCATAGAAGCAGAGAATCAGCCTTTTAATCAGTGAAGAAGCAGTGGGTAGCCTATAAAACGGAACATCAAGAGAGAAAGGTTGTTTTTCTTTTTTCTTTTTGCTTGTTACAGACATTTGCCAGAAGATTAAAGTGAGTTTACATTAACTGTGCTATTTGAGTTAGAATGTTTGAAGTGTTGAGGATAGCTTTTGAAGCTTTTTTTCTTTTAAGGAAATGCATAGGCCTCTGTCATGAGACTGCTTGGAGGGTCTATTAAATCACAGAACCTTTATTTCCCCTCTAGAGGTTTTTTTTTTATGTTATGATGGAGCACGTTCTTTTTTAAGCTTTTATATGATTACAAAACTTGCTTATATTGAATATAATATTCTAAACATTTTTAGAAGCTTTTAACTTCATCAAAAACTATTTGTCAGTGCTTTGGGGAGATAGCTCACTGGATAAAGCACCTGCCTGAGGACCAGAGATCCGATTCCCCAGAACTCACATAAAAACTAGGCTGGTGTGGAGGCCACCTGTGATGCCAGCACTCCTGGAGGTAGTATCTAAGAGGAAAGTCCGCTATCTAGGCTATGCAGAATCCCTAAGCTTTGGATTCAGCAAGAGAATCTGCCGTAGTAAATAAATGTGGAAAAACAGAATGGTACCTACTTCTGGCCTCTACATGCCAAGACAGACAAACACACACAAGTGTCTATACACATGTGAAAGCACACAAGTGCCCATATACATATGAACATACATACAGATAAGCATATGCACCAAACACATATATATATAAACATGCAAAAAAAAAAAAAACCACTGAGATCACTGGCATTTTTGTATTGTTAAGTAACGAGTTAGAATATACCAAGGCCAATATGGACCAAAACCTGACTCTGAGACTCCTAATCAGAATGATTATACCCTCCATATTTCCCTCCCTCCCTCCCTCCCTCCCTCCCTCCCT